CCTGCTGAAAACGGAAGCGTATCAGGTGGCTTCTGGGCTCAAAACCGCCTCCCTTCTCTGCTACAGAAAATATAAAGTTGACTGCAGGAAGTACGGGGGGGGTTGGGTTTTGGTTTTTTTATGGTAAAGATTTGCCATTAGAAAAGGTGCTTCAGCGCAGGCCGGTCACCTATAGGCTTCCTACAGCCACGCCGAAGGGGCAGAAGGCAAAAGCCACGCTAGCCTTAGAAATATATATTTATTTTTCTGGACGTAACCTCCTTGCTGCTGTGTAAGCAGGGGGGCACGGCGGGGACAGCGAGTCCCTTGTCTGGGAGAAACCTCGAAGCAAGCAAATCCCCATGAAACCCCTTCGAAGAGGTGAGATTTCAGGCTGGGAGGACCCGTGGTGCTGCCGAAACCCAACTCGCTTTTGGGCTGAGCGTCCTGCTTGAAAGCGTGGAGTGTGGGAAGGGAAATGAAAAAAAAAAAAAAGCCACTTTATACGGTTAGATGCAGGCGCCTGGGCTTATGGCTGGCAGAAAGTAGGACACTCCTGCTGGGTTTTCTTCTCGGGAAAAGCTAAACTTGGCTGTGAGTGGGTGGAGGCAGCCTGCATGGAAATGCCTGCGTGCCCCCCCATCCCCTGTGCCGGCCCGGCAAGCTCTGCTCGGGTGTATTTGCCCAGAAGGGTTTAAGCCCAAGCTTGCAAAGGTGATTACACGTTCAGCTCGCTGAGATGAGTAGGAATTAGAGCCTAAATAACTCTGCTGTCCAGGCTGCGGTAGAGTATCCCGAGCTTCTCGCCAAGATCGGAGCTCGGTGGGGTGGACGTGGGGTTGGTGGAAGGGGAGCCAGGAGGATTTTGGAGGTTGCAGAGGTCCGGCAGCTCACGGCCTGGCTGTGTGTCCGAGTCAGGCGTAGGGATGTGGAGCAAGTGGTGGCTGCTGGCATTGGGGGTTAAACTGGAGTGGGGCAATTTAATGTGAATTAGGCTAAAGGAAGCAGGAGAGCAGAGAAACCACCGAGCCCTGGAGCATCTCTGGGCTGGGCGATGCTTGGGCTCCTGCGTGGGAAGCTGTGGTTTGTTCTTGCCGTGCTCCTGGATTTCCCCAGCGTCTCTGCTCCCCAAATTGGGACTTTCCTGGTGCCCTGTGCCAAGGGACGCAGCTTCACAGCCTCCCTCGTGAAAGGCCCCGGGGGGGGGGGAGCACAGCCAGGAGCCACAGGCAGCTCCGGTGTGTGGGGACCCCCACCTCTGCATGAGCAGGGGGTCGCTACCCCAGGGCTGTGACCCCGATCAGGTTCCCCAGGGCAATGGACTGGCCGAAATGAGGCCATAAAGTCCAAAAAAATGTGATTTGGAGTGGTATCTTCAAAGGGAAGAGCAGTGTGCTAGGGAAGGGGCTAGCAAGTCCTTGGGGCTGCAGTTTGGTGGGGGGGGCGGTTTGGTTACCTATTCCTTCTCCTCCTCCTTATCCTCCAGTGCTCTGGAAGTAAACACAGCTTTTAATACTCTCCAAATTCGATCCTTTGGATCTGCTTCAAAAGAGACTTTCCTGCCGCTACTAATCCCGCAGCGGTCGACCGCCGAACAGGGTTGCCTTGTCCGTTTTCTCCTGAGCTGCGGGAGGGAGGGTTGTTGGTCTGCTCCTGCGTCTCTCCTGACCTTTGGGGTAAATCGGGATCGGGAGGGACTTCGTGCAGCCACGTGTGTTATCCTCCCGTGTGGTGCTGCAGCGGTCCTTCTGCCAAGCCCTTGTTCACGGTCCAAGCCAGCTTTGGGAAGGTTTCCAATGATGCCCAAATCTGGCTGCAGGTGGTGGAGTGTCCCATTCCGTAGCCAAGATGTGGCTGTCTGTCTCCGTCCTGTGTGTCCTGGTGGCCTTCGCCAATGCTCGCAGCATTCCTTACTACCCTCCCCTCTCCAGCGACTTGGTCAACCACATAAACAAGCTCAACACCACCTGGAAGGTGAGTACTGGGTTGCTTTTTAGGGGGTTGGGTTTTTTGTTTGTCTTTTTTTTTTGTTTTGGATGCATTGATCAACAATGTTGATCTCTCTGTGGGACTCGGTAGCTGAGCTTTGGGAGTCTCACCACGGTGGTTGCATCAAATCAGCCTTGGTCCCAGTTGACTTCTCCAGTGAGTTGATGCCGTTGGGGATTGCTGCAGTGATGGTGACCGTGCAGCTTCTTCTTTTTGGAGCTGAGCACTGATGAACTCATAGCCTAGGAGCAATGCCGAGAGGAGACAAGTGTCGAGCTGTATTGGTGACCTGGCCAAACCCACCTCGGCCAGGCTGCTGTGGCCAAAGCCTAGAGTTGGGCCTTAGCTTACTGGTGCTGCGGATGCACAGATCATGGAAGGGGCCATGTTCTGTGTCTGTAGGTAGCTTGGCTCTTGGCCCCTGGGTTTTATAGCAGGTGTCAGACACCGGTTGGGTTTGAGGGAGGTCTGGAGCATCAGGGCTGGTCCCAGCGATGCACTTGATGGCTATGGAGAGTCGTGTCCCATCTCTCTGTGTCTCTTCCCAGGCAGGGCACAACTTCCACAACACTGACATGAGCTATGTGAAGAAACTCTGCGGCACCTTCCTGGGTGGGCCCAAGCTCCCCGAGAGGTGAGTGCTGGGAGAAGAAGATGAGGGCCCTGTAAAAGCTTGCGTGGGTGCTCCTGGTGTGTCCAGAGTGGGTGGGGGTCTCTCCTGGCAGACTGTGAGCGAGGGTCCCCTGGGTGGACATCTTGCATGGAATTAGGGACAGAAGCATGCGTGAGGGGGATGGTCTATCTTCCGTCCTGCCAGATACTTGACCAGTTGTGTAATTTGCGCTCCTTGAAACTTCAAACACTGGAGGAGCTGCTGACCTGGTCCGAGGACTGCAGAAGTATTTATTCTCCTTCAGTAAAACAACAAGATTGCTTGTCCTCCGGGTCGCCTTCAGGGGAGCTTGGAGAGTCCCGTGCACCCAGTCCCGTGACATTGGTGTTCCTGTAACAGGACTTCCCTCTTCTTGCTTGCAGGGTCGATTTTGCTGCAGACGTGGAGCTGCCCGATAACTTCGACTCGCGGACGCAGTGGCCTAACTGTCCCACCATCAACGAGATAAGAGACCAAGGCTCTTGCGGCTCTTGCTGGGTAAGAGCAAGAGCAGTTTAAGGTCGTGTGTGTCGATACAGAGTTTGCTGGGCAAAAAAAAAAACCCAACAGTGCTGTTGAGCTTGCCGCTGAACTGCATAAATGGGGGGACGTGGGGGATCCTGCAGTGTCTGAGCTTCTCGGTGGGCTTCTGCCAGCCAGGCTCATGCTGGCTCCACTCATTCATAGAATCATAGAATCGCTTTGGTTGGAAAAGACCTTTAAGATCATCAAGTCCAACTGTTAACCTAACCTAACCCTGCTGTCCCAGCTTGCCTGGTTTCTTTCCCCTGGCCAGTTCTAATGGTCTTTGCGTGGGTTTTTGGGGGCTGCTTGCAGGCTTTTGGTGCCGTAGAAGCGATTTCGGACAGAACCTGCATTCACACGAACGCCAAAGTGAGCGTGGAGGTCTCGGCAGAGGACTTGCTGTCGTGCTGTGGCTTCGAGTGCGGCATGGGGTGAGCTGCTCTTGGCTTTTCTGCTCTTAGAAGCTGGGTGGGAGGAGTGGGGGGGACAACCCCAAGATGCCCTGTCTTCCTAGTCCCCCTAATGAGCAGGAAGCCCCACCAGAGGTTTGAGCTGTAGATGCTGGAGTTAGGTGGGAAGACAAAGATGATCGCATGGACTGAAAGTCCCTCTGGGCCACGTCCTGCCCCCAGCAGTAGCTGGATGATGATGGATCATGTCGGGAGGGCAAACGCATATCAATGCTTTCCCATACGTAGTTGGCAGCTGCCGAAGCCAAAGGATGGATTTTTTATTAGCCCCAAGGCCTTGGATTTCAGGCACAAGCCTTTTGCCTGTGGCTTTTGCAGTTGTTGAGAAGTTGGGTCTCTGAGTTGTGTGGCTTCTTCAGCTCCTGGACTTGGTTAGGAGCCTCCGAGGCAAGGAGACACCAGTGCTTTGGGACTTGGAGGCATGGGTGCTCCTAGCTCCTTCTTTCCCCAAGGCTTCAGTGTTTCAAAGCCCAGAAGTCCTGGGGAAGGAAGGGACAGACTTAAAAAGGTTCAACGGGCTGAAAGCTTCCCTTCAGCTGCCCAAAGCTGGGTATGGCTCTGAACGGGCTGGAGCTGGAACTGCTGCCTCTTTTTCCAGGTGCAATGGTGGTTACCCCTCTGGTGCATGGAGGTACTGGACAGAGAAGGGCCTCGTGTCTGGCGGTCTCTACAATTCCCATGTGGGTAAGTGCTGCCAGGTACCCTTGTGAAAGCAAAGAGGAACATCTCGGCTTGGTTTACAGGTTTGTGTCCTTCAAGGTGCTTTTCTTCTGGTCTGCATCCCTGTGGCTGCTCCCTCCTTCAGGTTTGGGCTCAAAACCACCTCTGCTATCCCAGCTGGCTGCTCCTGTCCCCATGGCTTCTGGTCACCCCTTTGGGACAAGTGTCCCTGAGCAGCACCTAGTGGCAGGAGACCCATCCAGAAAAGGGA